TGCATTCTTCAAGTACGGGGAAGTGAACGGTCGTCATTGCCTTGACGGACCTCACATGAGGGCATTAGGGGATATCATCTCTCTTGACCAAACTTTACTATGGGCCGTGGTCGAATAATCGAACAGTTGAATCTTTCTAAATATAAAAATCTCGGTGGATTTGTTGTAAGAGCGCAGCAGTACGGTTCATTTGGAGATCGACCACATTCCCACCAACCGAAAGTAAATCTTGCAATGTTACAGTACACTGATTTCACGCCTGCGAGGCGCACTTTTTCAATTTTTCAAAGAGGCCCGTTGGGTGTTTCACTGCGCTTCGGAAAACGATTCTTATGCTGACGATTCTCTTGAGCAATATACAGCATGATGTGGGGTCCTTTGGTTGCAAAGTCTCTTGGCGTGTTTGGGCTGGTCGATTCTGGAAAAAAATCCCCGCGCCTTATATGCGTGAAATTAGGGTAGTTGCATCATTCCGCAATGGCTTCGATCACTGCCTTCCTCAAGGAAAGTACGATTCAGAAAAAACTTGAAAAGGAGATCTGCTATAGCGTCGCGAGAAAGGGGGAGGAGGACTCTTTGTAGTTATAGCTCATATCAAGTTGTGACTGGCCCTCGATGAGGACCCAACTGTAAAGACTTATGAAAAGATTGCGAGCCGAGCCTGTTGAGAGTGCCCTCAGTGACTTCGGAGAATAAATTAAAACTTGCGAAGACCATGAAAGAAGAATTTTGAGGCAGGGTCCGAATGCAATCCATCTCGAGCGACTGGTAGCCAACGCTACTTGAAGAACAGTGTAGGAAGATTTCGAAAGTACGGGCAAGCTAAAACTGAAGGCAGCCGGAAAAACACGTAAATTTAAGAAGTGTTAAGTGGGTCAGGGTGAATATCACGTACCGCAGGCAACATTGAACGAAGACGGGATCCCAACTTCTTCCCAAAAGGCGCAGTCTATTGGGAATAACCTTTACCCCAAACCCACTTACCAACGCTTGTGCCGATATCCGTTCTTCACACTGGGTTTTTGAAGACTCACTGCCAGTCAGATTATGACGGCGACCACGACACTATCAAGACTATCTGTCCGTCAAACTTCTGCTTGCAAAAGGACAGCGTCTACTTGAGATTCGCATCTCCTTCGGAAGATAAAAATAATTTCTACCACTGGATGAAAAACGGGAGAACAAAAGATACCCCTTTTGTTCCTCTGTTTAAAAAAGGCGATTGGGATGATCTTCACAATTGTCAAATATGCGTACCGAGTTTGCTATACAAGGACGTTCACGAATATTACCCTGCTTGCATGCCAAGGACATGGAAGCAGCCCCAACAAGTTGAATTTCGCAAATGATTTAGCTGCATGAACTACATCCAGACGACGTCGAGGTCTTACAAGCTTGCCAGGAGTGCCGACTGCCTCTCCCTAACTTCGTCGACTACCAGGAGGTCTTTGACAGCGTCAAAACCAACGCCATCCTGCCAAGAAAGGATTCATGCTATGTAAGACATTAGTCGAGTGTGTGTTTCAACTTTTCAACTTTTCATTAGTGTTTCAACGACAATGCAGCTGTTCCAACTCCGAATGACGTTGGGGTACGACAAAGCGACACGTTCTCGCCAAAGCTATTCACCGCGACCTTACATGGGTGATGAAGTTGCTGAATTGGGACAAAAGGTGCAAATGAGCTGATTAGAGATTCCTCTCGATCCTTCGTTTTGCAACACGTCCTTCTCTTTTCGAGCAGTATCAGCGAAGCGAAGGCCTGCTGAAGGGACTCAACAAAGTAGGGAGGAATATCGGACTGTAAATAAATCGGAAGAAGACCCAGGTTATGAAAAGCGCCCTTTGCGAAGATGTAGAAATCACATTCGAAGGCAACCCAATGGAGACGGCTTCTTACGTGTATGTCGGACGTTCGACAGGAGAAGAAGACAGCTTGAGCCGCCTTCGGGTCTCTAAAAAAAACATTGCCCAATATACAGACCCGGAACTTCGAGCCGACTTCTCCGACCCAACCGCTCTCCTAACGCTCTGTTACGCAGCTGATACCTGGGGCGCACTGTAGCCACGTCGAAACGTTTGCGAACGACATAAAGAGAGCTCAAGCGCCTACCCTCTGAAGATTAGGCGACATAAGCAACATTTTGTCGGATTAGCAGATTCCAAATTCGAGAAGCGTATCCACTTGAGAAGTTTATTGGATACGTTTCTCGCACCTTGCACTCGTGGAAGCTACAATGGCGACAGGTTAGACGATCATGAAAGTCTGAAGCGAGAATTTGTGAGACATGAAGAATTCTGCGCCAAGACCCGCCATGCCATGTGAACACGGTCCATCTACAGGGTGTCCCAAAAGTATGTATACACTGTTTGA